GGTGGCAGTAGCAAATATGTAATGTGATGTTTCTATCCTTAGTGCACGTAAAACGTTACGGTATCTTCGTTGCAATGAGTAGCGAATTTTTCACAGGATGACTCAGCTCTTGGTGGGCTTCAAAATAAATAAAGATGCAGTCAAACACGGTACTTACCTCGTCCAATCGGTGACTGTGGAACAGTTTTACCACCTTTGTTTTTATTCGCAAATGTCACCTCTCTGTACTCCACTTGATTACGCCTCTTTGTGCCTAGATTTGGAGCGTACCCGATAAACTGCACCATATTCATTGTGCGTAATATCTCTGGGTCTATAGGTGGAGGGCGTCTGTGTGAGGGCGATAAAATTGTTTTAGCATTTCTGGTTGCTAGGCTACAGAGTGCATGATGGTATAAATTTGTTATACAAGGTGATTAGAGGTGTACAAGTATAGGTTATTGAATGACAAGTGTAGTACTGTAAAATACTTTATTTTAGCTGGAATTAATTTTCGCCGAAAAGACTTTTTTGGTGTTTTGTCATCTTCGCTAGCCAAGGTTTAAGTTTATTCGGCTGAGCCCCTAAACAGACCTTGGCAGAACGACCATCAAATATGCGTTTTCTAACAGCGCCCCCAGTAGTCAGTTGCGGCTAATCAATGTCCAATCAGTTTGCGTGTTACAAATCCCTCTTTGGCGTTTTATTTTAAACAAAATGGCGGTGCCCATGAATCGTGATATTTGTGATGATAAAATTGCGAAAGTTTTTGGTGTTGGTGCCCTCAAGCCTCTTCAGGTACAGGCAATCGACGCAGTTTTGAGTGGGAAGGATGTCTTCATAGCGAAAAAACAGTGGAATTTTGTTTTATAATTTGGTACGTCCAAGCTGATTGGGTGCCCTGTTTCGAGGCGCGCCCAATCAGATCTCACTGCTTAAGATACGCAATTAGCCTATGTGACCCCACACGATATCGTGTAGAGGCCTATAGGTCAAAGACACAGGACTGTGCGATTCGGACGATGGTGTTTTGTATTGAATTTATTTTCACTGATTTTTGATGAGTTGAATGTTAAATTACTGTATAGAAAAAAAAAGGTATTTTATTTTCACTGAATCATTCATTCAGCAAAAATAGCAAAAATATTTTACAGTACTGGGGTATACAGTGCTTTGAATACACGAGCTATCTGTCAATTGAAATCAAAACCTTATATTGAGCATTTGTCATTACATGTCTAACATGACTACAATCACAATTGTGAGTATCTCAGCAATTTTTGTCAACCATATATAGTATTGGTCTCACCATGGCCATTATATAATCAGTTACAATTGGCTACAATTTAGGTGAAATAGAAAGAAGTTCCATGAACTGATGAGGACTCACCGTGTGACTGCAACACAGTATTCTGACGCCCAATCTGATAACAATGGGCCATTACAGAATGGCATCGGTACCGTAGACAGCGGTGTCATCTCGTCATTAATGTGAATAGGAGGTAACGGTTCAACCTGAAAGCACAACATACAGGATAAATGAATCCACAAGCTCAAAACAACAATTCTTAACATGACCATAATGTCTTCAATCTCAGGAGAAATCTGCTGAAAGAACTAATGAAGAAAACATCACACATACTTCAAAACAGATTAAATACTCACTGGATCGGCAAATTGTGTGGGTTGTGAAAAATTGTTGTATGTTGCAGTCTCCCTATCACTCCATAGATGTACATAACCTAAGAGGGGAAAACAGAACCATGCGTAATTAGTGTCTTATTAATTAATTGTGGAAATTGTCCATATATCTTCCCAGTATAAAAAAGAATCAAACACAGAAGAGTGTTATGACAGATTGCAACTTTTCCCGCCTACATCAACATACTGCTCCTACATGAAATAAAACATACATTGATGAAGCACAACAAAACTGATAACTCCACAATACAAACAGTATGAAGGTAACACCACAGTGCTTTGCCTTACCACCACTGTTATTATCCTTGA